TACTTAAAGGGATAAAATAAACTTGAATATACTTAAAGGGATAAAATAAACTTTAATATACTTAAAGGGATAAAATAAAACTTGAATATACTTAAAGGGATAAAATAAACTTGAATATATTTACTTAAAGGGATAAAATAAACTTGAATATACTTAAAGGGATAAAATAAACTTTAATATACTTAAAGGGATAAAATAAAACTTGAATATACTTAAAGGGATAAAATAAACTTGAATATACTTAAATAGATAAAATAAACTTGAATATATATACTAAAAGGGATAAAATAAACTTGAATATATATACGTAAAGGGATAAAATAAACTTGAATATATATACTTATAGGCATAAAATAAACTGGAATATACTTAAAGGTATAAAATAAACTTGAATATATATACTTAAATGGATAAAATAAAATTGAATCTACTTAAAGGGATAAAATAAAATTAAATATATCTACTTAAATGGATAAAATAAACTTGAATATACTTAAAGGGATAAAATTAACTTGAATATATCTACTTAAAGGGATACTTGAATATACTTAAATGGATAAAATAAACTTGAATACATCAACTTAAAGGGATAAAATAAACTTGAATCTACTTAAAGGGATAAAATAAACTTAAATATTTCTACTTAAAGGGATAAAATAAACTTGAATATACTTAAAGGGATAAAATAAACTTAAATATATCTACTGAAATGGATAAAATAAACTTGAATATACTTAAAGGGATAAAATAGACTTGAATATACTTAAAGGGATAAAATAAACTTGAATATACTTAAAGGGATAAAATAAACTTGAATATATCTACTTAAAGGGATGAAATAAACTTGAATATATCAACTAAATGGGATAAAATGAACTTAAATATATCTAATTAAATGTATAAAATAAACAGCGAGAACTTTTCATGATTTATCTCTACAGTCAAAGCTGTTAAATCATTAAAAATATATTTTAGATGTACAAGGTCAGAAAAAAGTCGTAAATGCGAAAAATAAAAATTTCAAACATCCACTTAAAGGGATAAAATAAGCTTGAATGTATATACTTAAAGGGATAAATTAAACTTGAATATATATACTTAAATGAATAAAATAAACTTAAATGGATAAAATAAACTTGAATATACTTGAAGTGATAAAATAAACTTGAATATATCTACTTAAATGGATAAAATAAACTTGAATACATACTTAAAGGGATAAAATAAACTTGAATATATATACTTAAATGAATAAAATAAACTTAAAGGGATAAAATAAACTTGAATATACTTGAAGGGATAAAATAAACTTGAATATATCTACTTAAATGGATAAAATAAACTTGAATATATATACTTAAATGAATAAAATAAACTTAAAGGGATAAAATAAACTTGAATATATATACTTAAAGGGATAAAATAAACTTAAATATATCTACTTAAATGGATAAAATAAACTTGAATATATTTACTTAAATGGATAAAATGAACTTGAATATATATACTTAAATGGAACTTTTCATGATTTACTCTACAGTCAAAGCTTTTAAATCATTAAAAAATATATTTCGGATGCACAAGGTCATTTTTATAAGAAAAAAGTCTTAAATGCGAAAAATTATAATTTTTCAAACATCTACAACTTAAAGAAAACGTGTTAAATAGAAAATAATTAAAACTAGTTTAAAGAAAATATTCTGATTTTACACAAGATGTCACAAAAACATATTTGACCTTTTCCAAAACATTTTCTAATATTTTAGTTGATAAATGGTAATTCTTGTTTGGTAAAATAAAATATTTTTATTAATCTTAAATTTCAAATTGATCATTTTTAAGACACACTGTCAATAAAGAAAAAAAAATGTTGAGTTCTCTGTAAATGTGTTCTCAATTTGTTAAAATTTTTGCCATTTCAGCATTTCATGTTTGATGTGCAGATAGTAAAGTAAAAACTTAAATATTTATATTTATATAAACATAAAACATAATTTGAAGTGTGTAACCTATTATATTCATTATCGTTAACTAACTAAGGGCCAACCAATTAAAACAACCTACCCTGGTTAGGCGGGTCCAGACTGCATAGTAACTTGTGATTGCTTATTTGTAATATCTCATGCTTTGTAGTTGAATAAAAATATAAAAAATTGATGAAATACACTTCTGACTTGGGAACCCAGCTCTCCTTGGAAACTAAAATTTCTCAATGAAAGTCAACCTACACGATTTAGCATTTTTAGACCAAGCTAAAAACATTCTAGCGAGAGAAATCTGTCAAGGGATTTACGAGTTCCTAGCTGAAGGGCCCGGCGTTGCTCATGGGGAAAAAACAATATTTGATTTTTTTAGCATATCTTACCCCCAGGCTACCCATGAGTGTTCACAAAAAAATGTCAGCCCATTCGGTCCAGTGCAGCCGTTTGGCCAGCGATAGGGAAAAGGTATACGAATGTCTTGTTTTATTATGTAGATGAGCGGACGAACAAACAAACAAATAGATACCTACAATTTTATATAGATATAGATGGTATATATATTTTCATCAATTTATTGTTAATTTATTACTGTCAATGATAATCCTAAAGTCATTTCAAAATATTCTACTAATAACATCTATGATCGAATAATAAGTAACTCACTGTCAACTAGACGGAACTATGGAGACTGTCAAATCACGGGCAGCCGTAGTACATTTGAATATCCGAGCCGGGTCAACCTTTCCGGTCCCAGTTTGTCCTGTATCGCCCGGATATTGGATATAGATATAGATAGATGACATTAATGGATTATATAATCAATCCTGCATGAGGCTGAGGAGGATACAAATATTTAAACCGATGTATTTATTTTGTATATATTTCTATTATATTTAAACCATGTATTTATTTTCTATATATTTCTATTATATTTAAACCATGTATTTATTTTGCATATATTTCTATTATATTTAAACCATGTATTTATTTTTCATATATTTCTATTATATTTAAACTAGTATTTATTTTGTATATATTTCTATTATATTTAAAGAGCATGTTTAATGTGCACAACGCACACCATAGTAAGAAAGAGCGCCCTGTATGGTTATTAATTGAAGTCTAGTTATTATATATTATTATTATATATACTGACATAAACCAATCAGAGTAATTATTACGCACAGCAGGAAATAATTCAAGCGTACGCGCTCAATAGAAGGGGTTCATTCATATTCATCCTTCTCTCCATGCTCTTCATACTCATTCTACTCATGCTACTCATCCGTCTCATCCTTCTCATCCTTCTCATCCTTCTCATCCTTCTCATCCTTCTCATCCTTCTCATCCTTTCTCATCCTTCTCATCCATTTCATCCTTTTTATCCTTCTCATCCTTCTCATCCTTTCTCATCCTTCTCATCCTTCTCATCCTTCTTATCCTTCTCATCCTTCTTATTCTACTTTTTCTACTCATTTATCTTAACTTTCTCATCCTTCTCATCCTTGCCATCCTTCTCATCCTTCTCATCATTCTCATCCTTCTCCTCCTTCTCATCCTTCCCATCCTTTTTATCCCTTTTATCCTTCTCATCCTTCTCATCCTTCTCATCCTTCTCATCCTTCTCATCCTTCTCATCCTTCTCATCCTTCTTATCCTTCTCATCCTTCTCATCCTTCTCATCCTTCTCATCCTTTTCATCCTTCTCATCCTTCTCATCCTTCTCATCCTTCCCATCCTTCTCATCCTTCTTATCCTTCTCATCCTTCTCATCCTTCTCATCCTTCTCATCCTTCTTAACCTTCTCATCCTGCTCATCCTTCTCATCTTCTCATACTTTTCATTCTTCCAATCCTCAAAGGTCTCTCATTCCTCTTATCCTACCTATCCTTCATATCCCAATCATTTTTCTATTATTCCATGGTTAAAGTTTCTCCTAAATTCTGACCAAACCTGATTTATTAGTCTGATTTTCTTTGATTGTCAGATTTTGATAAATGAATCGTTGATATGTCTGGAATGCGAGGCACATCTATATGTCTATCTATCTATCTATCTATTTCTCTATCTATCTATCTATCTAACTATCTAGCATGTTTTGAACATATTTAATCCATTGTTGTGTATTGGCACGAGCTCTTCTACCCCCCACCTCTCACTCCTCCCTTTAACCCTAACTAAGAAAGGGATTGATCACTTATTTTAACACAACATTAACCATTTCAAACAAGCTCATTTTTATTAACTATCCAGTTAACTATAGTTTTTGTCAAAAGTTTTTTTTAGAACCAATGCAGATAGAAGTCTTAGTTCGCTATTCATTGCATGATTTATAGATAAAAAATCACGTTTTCTTGAACATTGTTAAATATTAAGACCATTCCCTTTAGATTTGATAGTTCATCCTTTTATAATAAATAGGCTCCAATACATCTCAAGGCAATTAGAATACAATGTGAGTGTGGGGTCAGAGTACTACCTCGACATGAAAAATTGTATACAATAAAATATAAACTGACTTACTCCATCCTTGCTACATCTATACTCTATTCTTACTCCATTTTTACTCCATCCAAACTTAATTCTGACTCCATTTTTACTTTCTTACTCACTAATTTCTCCATCCCTCAATTATTTCTCCATCAAACCTCTATTCTTACTCCATCCTTACTTCATCCTTATTCCACTCTTGCTCTATCCTGATTCCATCCTATACTCCATCCTTACCTTTTCCTCAATCTATCCTCACTCTATCCTTACTCCAGCCTTTCTCAACTATGGTTGATCTAGGTTGTAAGAATAGCTGAACAATTGTTAATAAAT